TTTTTCGATATTGTTGTCCTGCGGACCGCGCGGATACCTGCCTAGTTATCACAAATTACGAACGAATAATATGCCTATATGGCTATATCACGTGTTTATGTGTACGTACGTGATGATAAAAAAAGAAAAGAAAATATATTGAAATTGTAGTGACAGCTAAACACAGCTGGAGATTAACGAATCATGAAATTATTATTGTTTTTTCCGCTCCCTTATAAATCATTTAATTATGGCCAGGATTTATAGACGTATAAACTTAGCAGACAACAAAAGACTAGGCCATCGCTGCATTTTATTATTAATCACTCATATTCTAGGAACAAAGAAAAGAATTATACAAGTACGAATAAATAGGTCAGATGAAATATTATAAGTGGCATTAATTATAAATCGATGCACATTGAACCGGGACAAATAAATACGAAAACATCATATCAAACTATATAAAAAAAAAAAATCGTGATGATTATTAAAATCGACACATCTAATGACATTTGCTTACCCAATAAATGTTTTGCATAAGATGAGCTGTTCACATTCATATTTGTTCTTTTTTTATAACGTCACTGAATTGAACTCGTACTCGTAGTATTTTAATTTTAAAATTAGATTAAGAAAAACCTTAAGAAATTCTCTCACTGGCTCAATCCAGCAGAGCACCACTCGTGCAACATTATTTTTAAACTACATTTTAAATTGACTTCATGTTTCTAGAGTGTCCCATATCAATAACAAAGTAAAAAACCTACTACTACTAATAATGTTTTTCGTTGTAATTTCAGCAAACAATTATTTTTTTTTAACAGAAATTCTTTTTTTTTAAACAGAATATTTTTTAAAACAGAAATTCTATGGCTCAATATTAATTATATGCACCAAGAAACGATAATTATACGAGTTAGATCCACCCTAGAGCAAGAAACTATAATTGATAAATGTTTTTTTTTGTCTCATTGTAAACGTTAATATAACTCGTTTACAAATCGAGAAAATAATTGGGTTTCTTTTTCTTTTGTTGTGTGAGTTATAAATTTATTTTTGTCACCGTGAATCTTTTTTAAAAAGCCATTATGCATGGGAAATCGGGTGCAAGCACGTGAAAGTCGGCCCATTGTAGCAGTCGAATAGTTGACTTAAATCCATTTTGATTATTTTATCTCTGTTTAACCAGATTAAATTAAACAAATTACAGTAGTACG